TGTTAAGATAAGTGATTTAAGCAAGTGCAGCACCGGCGGCTTGGAAGCCGAGACTAGGCCTCATAGTGTAGATTTAGACTCCAAGTGACTGTGTGAAACAATAAAGTGTTCCAGTGGCAAAGTGCATTGTGTTGGTCAGAAGTGCTTCACCCTCACTTGTCCGAGACTGACCCTTAGCCGACCTGAGGAGAGAACTCATCGCCAGGAGCTAGTCGAACCCATCACCAGCTTCCACCCCACTCACGCCTTCCCTCCTTAAAAATGAATCGCAAACAGCACCTAGCTGTTTGCTGGCGCCCATATCAGGTTCTATGCTGAAATTCCAACCCCGTAATCAGCAACGGAAGGAGGAAGCGGTGGAGCCTGGTCAAGCCGGAACCAGCCACGCCCTAACAACTTCAACCAGGTAGGGCAGCCAAAGTGACAAGTGGCAACCACCTTGGGGGCAAGAAGCCTAAAGAGAGGGTGGGCGGTTAAAATATTCAACATATCTTGCAATATTCACATAATCCAACTCATCATGTAGTAACTTCATATTTGCTTCCTTATTAAAAAAAAGTAAAAAGAGGTAAAGCTATCCCTGTACCAGGCCGTGAAGGCCCATAGAGTTGTGAGACGTTGAGGGTCCCACATCATCTAGACAATCGGCTCAAAGATGGCGGTAAGATTGTCAGCCTTACGCGCCAACCACGCTTTACTTCCCAAGAAAATTATTTAATTAATTCCTGGTACTCATTTCTGTTAGAAGCTGAGTAAACCCCTTATACTTATCACAATTTGAATATATCTTTGTCTTCAATCAGTCTGGACTTAAACAAATGCATGAAGCCTCTAGACACGAACGAGGGTATGTTCATTATGGAATCACTCTTGCAGAAGCTGTTCTCCCTCTTGTACCACACAGATCTTATGTACTAAACATTATATATTTTTATGTTGCCCATACATCAATTATGTAACCAGACAGGAGCCATTATTCAAAGACTGTATGGTCATTGTAAGCTAGCATATATACCCAGTTGCTTAACTGTTCCAGTTAAACTATGAGATCTTTCCCATGGGATGCTGTATAAACATGCCATTCAAAAGTGATACAAAAATTCTTCTCATGGAAATACTAATTAAATTATATTACTGTACTCAGCAGGGAGATCCACTAGAAAAGCACCAGACATGGTTTGGTTGCATTTGAAATATTCTCATAATAAACTGTACTGTCACTGATAAAAGCGTCCAGCTACTGTATCACAAGACTGAAACTGCCATATAACTACTAAGGTTCAAAGTGTTTCCTACATTCTTGAAATAAATCACTAAATGACGAATTTGGCTTTGGCATTATTCCAGTGAAATAACAACTCAAGCCTCACAGAATGAAATAGTAATGTTCTATGAAGTCACACAGAACAATATACTCATTTCTGCTGAAGGTAAACTTAAGCTTATTTTGGAAAGCTGACTGTTGTACTGCAATGAAAGAATGCTACAGAAGATCCAATAATTTTTTAAAGATGTTCAAAAATTCTTTCGATCAATGAATATGTTCCTAAAGTTGATCTGTACCTAATCAATCACTGTTTGTACATCACTTAATCAACCTTATTTAATTCACACAAATACAAATCTGTATGCCATTTGCAATCCAGGATTGCCATGGCAAAAGCTGCATTTAGCAAGAAGAAGAATCTTTTTACCAGCAAATTGGACTTAAATTTGAGGAAGAAACTAGTGAAATGCTACATTTGGAGCATAGCTCTGTATGGGGCTGAAACATGGACACTT